GGACAGCGCTGGTGTAGTCCATGCAGGAGTTGGCAGCCTTTTGTCTAGCTGTGCCAGGTTACACACACACATGCTCACAGAATCTCCCCATATCTCTTTTTTCTCTTGCTATGAAGGTGTGGTGGGTGGGGATGGGGGTACATCTCATGGTGGTGGCCCCTGGTGGCTGCTGCTTTCTAGTGGGGAGGTAGCATACACTCCTTCACTCACTCACTCAACGTATTTCTTGCCTATTATGTCCCACACACTGCAAAATGCTAGGATGCAACTGTGAACAAGGCAGAGCATGCTGAGGGCCTCCTAATGCTCGACCCAATGCCAAGTGCTGGGATACAAAGACAAGGGAGACAGAACCTCTGCACTTGACGAGCTCAGAGAGGAGACAGCCCCCCCAACAAACAGCACCGGGCAGTCAGGTGAGAGCAACTCTACCAAGGAAAGATGGACAGACAGACAACCCCAACCCACAGCAGTCGGGGAGAAGGTGCTTTAGGGCAGGAGCATTTGAAAGCAGGTTGGGAGAAACCCAAAGACGTAAAAACCATTCCAGTTGGAGGGAGCAGCCCCAAAGGCTCAGGGTGGGTAAGAGTGAGGCTGATGTGATCAGAGAGTTGGATTTGGAAGGAATCCAGGCCTTGACAGCCTTAGATTTCAGGCTAAGAAGTTGGGGTGTTGTCCTGAAGATAAATAGGATTTTAAGTAGAAGAGTAACAGGGAGATTTGCATTTTAGCAAGCTTACCCTGCCAACTGGTGGAGGAAAGAGATCTGAAATCGAGAGACCGATTAATTACGTGGCTATCGCAGAGCTCAGTCAGAGATGAAGGACCTGGATTTTCAGCAGCAGTGGGAGTGAAGATCATACGAGGGACCTGAGAGGTACTCAGAAGAGTGTTAAAGGGTGTTGGCAGAATATAATAACTGGCTGGGGGGTGAAAGAGAAGAATCACGATGAGCAGTGCCCGGTACCGTTAACACGGATGGGGAAATGCGTCATCAGTAGGTGACCCTGGGGGAGGTGGGGTTGACAGGCCGGGGTTGGGGTTGGGGAGAGTGAATATAGCAGCCCATTTAGCAAGTAGTGGGAACCAGGTAGTGCTTGACTCGTCTCAGTCCTTACTTTTTTTCCTGGGCTTTTTCTCTATGTGCTTGTTACTTATGAGCATCCTCCTTGAAAAGCCAGTCTCTGATTTCAGTATGTTCTACTTCCTCCAACATCTTTCAAATCAGTGTCCTCCTCTCTCTGTCCACTGCCCCTTCTTCATTGCAGGCCACCCTAATTCCAAGCTTGCAGCAGCAACGTCTCGCAGCCTTCATCCTGGCCCGCCTTGCTTCCAATCCATTTTCCACAAAGGCGGTGGTCTTTCTAAAACAGAAGTGCGGTCCATGCGCTTCCTCAGTCAAGTCATTCAGTGACTCCCATTGTTCTTTACTACGTTCCTTAATTCACAAACACTTTCTGAGCACTTACTAGGCATGCTGCTGGAGACAGAGAATGGGGACAGAGCCTCTGCCCCTAGGAGTCCACAGACTTGTGAGGAGAGCTCAAAGGCTCATTTTAAAAGAAAGAGTATGGATCATCTCTTCTCCATTCCTCTCTGTTCCTGAAGCCTTCGTGGATCATCTCTTCTCCATTCCTCTCTGTTCCTGAAGCCTTCGTGGATCATCTGCCGTCTCCTAAAAACAATTCTAGCCTGAATCTACTTTCTCAAGTGATGTTGCTGAGAACCTTATGCTGGAAGCTTCCTGCAGGGAGGGGAGCTGCTGTGGAAGCTGAAGTAGTTCTGAGAGCTCAGGGCCAGGCTCTGGGTCTGAAGACAGAAGCTTGGAGAGCTTGACCAGAAACTGTTCCTTGGGCCATGGCTATGGCAAAGAGCCAGTGCTGCCATCTGCCGGCCAGAGGGAAGATGCACCCACGCCCGTCCTGTTTGTAGGAGGCGGAGTCACGGGCAGCCCCATGGGGAGGGAAGGGACCTTGTCACCACGTGTTTAGTTTAGACACGAGGAAACTGGCGAGAAGGTCACATAACCGGTTTATGGCGTAGGGTCGGGGCCAGAAACCAAGTTCAGGGTTCTATGTAAAGCTTGATGCGCACTCCTCTGGATTCAGACACGTGGAGGGTAAAATCTTTACATTGCAGTCCAGCCTTTTCCTACCTCTTCTTCTGTCCTCCCTTTTATCAGTCCTTGGGGATTACGTCACTGCACTTCCAATAACAACCCGCCCCCTCCCTGTCCACCTCCTCCAGCCTTGCCCAGTCTTTGCTTTGGCTTGGTCAGAAGCCAATAAAATAGTCAAAGAAATTTTTGAACTTTTGGAGGACTGAGGATTGTGGGCATGCCCCACCCCCCAGCTTCTCACTGAGGATTTCATCTCCTGGGGTGCCCAGGAAGGGGAGTGCTGGGGATAGGGAGGGGGATGGAACTTCACTTCCAGGACAGTGCGGCCTGTGCAGAGCAGATCCCCAGATGCCTGGCTTGCATCTCCTATAAACTCCATGTCCAACACCTCTTTTCTGTAGGACAAGCATTGCTCACACTTGTGTCCTGGTGCATACCCACTCTCTCTTTTACACCCACCCGTCTTCACCCCACACTTGCTCTCCACCCACTCCAGGAGGGACAGTGTAAGCAAAATGACTTTGTTTCAGAGGCAGTTCAGCTAAGTCTTCTGAGATGTGTGGGTCTTGTATGTGCTACTCTCTCCACCACCTCTGTTTGCCATGTACACACCTCCGTTATAATTACAGTGGAATGGGCTAAGTCAGGTTTACCTGTGTTTCTGTTTCCTCTACTGGATTGACGAGCTTATCGAGGTCAAGGATTGTGTCTTTTACATCTTTCTATCTTAATCGGCAGTACTTAATCAGTGCCTGGTACATGGTGACTAGTCAAAAAATGTTAGTTGGATGAGTCAATAAATGAATGAATAAGATGAATGATAGACAAAATAATGCAGGCAACTAGACAGCAAGGAATTTTTATGTAGCACCATGGGACAAGTGTGCAACTCCCCAACTTTGAAGGGGATGATGCTTATATGAAGTTTCATATTTGATGTATCTATTTTTAAAATCAGTCATCTGTCTAACACCAAATTTTTACTTGTATAGCACCTTGTGATTTTCAGTGCTTTTTCACCTTCATTATCTTATTTGGTACTCACAAGCATACACTGGAATAGGGAGGTCAGGTGATGAGCCCACAGGAATTAAGTTTGCCTGTGTAGAGCTCCAACTTCCAAGCCTGCTGTTCCTGCCCCCATGCAGGCTCCCGGGCCTCTGTACTAGACTAACCTCCTTTGCAGAACTCAATTATGTTACCAGGAGGAAAAGTACACAGCTTTGCCCTTCGCAGAAGGACAATGAAATACTGACCTCTTAAAGGAACGCCTGTTTGGGGCGCTGCCTCTGGAAATCACTAGGAGAACTCGAGGTGTGC